CATACACACACACACACACACACACACACACACACACACACACATGCATATGGATATCACCAAACACCTCAATTACACAAAGCGGGGGGTTGCTAATAATAAAAACTTGAGAGACTGAGGGCATAGCTCAGTAATAAAGCACTTGCCTAACACACACAAAGCCCTGGGTTCAATTCCAGAAAAACATAATTTTTTTTAATTTAGAAAAAAAAAAAAAGTAAAAAATTTTACTAACATCTACTGAGTATGTAGTGGTAAAAATCTTAACTTTTGATCTACAGATTTTTTTTCAAATGCTCTTTTTAAAGCAGGTGTGGTGGCTCATGCCTGTAATCCTAGCACTTGGGAGTCTGAGGCAGGAGGTCTGACTGCCAGAAGTTCATGAGTTCAAGGCAAGCCTGGGCTACATTGCGAATTCAAGGCCAGCCTGAATTACATAGGAAGACTATCTCAAAAAAACTAAAATAAAAAATGCTCTTTCATTATGGAAACTATCAATTACATAAAAGAGAGAATAATAAAGTGAATTCCCTGAGCTTCAAAAATTACCACCTGGTCTTCTTTGTTTCATAATGAGGTGCGCCCCTATACACTTTTTGAGACAGGGTCTGGCTATATATATCAGGCTGCTCTTGAACTATGTACCCCCCAGGTTGGTCTTGAACTTGGGGTGATCCTCCTGCCTCAGCCTCCTGAGTGCCCAGATTACAGGTGTCACCATGCCCAATTCTCCCCTTTTTAATTTTTTGTCCGTACTAGGAATCATACTCAGGACTTTGCACTTGTGAGGGAGGTGTGGTGCCACTGAGCTACAACCTCTTTTTAAAAGAATTTTTTTTAAGAAACAGGGATCTGGCTATATTGCCCAGGCTGTCTCTAAACTCCTGGGCTTAAGTAACACTCTTGCCTCAGTCTTCAAAGTAGCTGAGAGTACAGATGTGTCACCCCCACCCTTATTTGAAACAAATCCCTTCGAAATGCACAATATGATAAAAAATGTAGAATGAAAAAATAAAGTCATAGTTATCTTTTTCTTTGCTGCTGAGGTTAGAGTTTAACTCAGTCTTAAGTACCTTCTGGCAAAACTAAGATGCCTGATGTGCTTAGGTTTTGCTTTGATGCTGGTCTTTTTTTTTTTTTTTTAATTGAC